GAGGAAGCTTGGAGAATCAGCTTTTCAAAAGTACGAAATGCAATCCATTACCTCCGCATTTCTTTTCTCTTTTTTTTTTTTTTTTTTTTTTTTCCTCAAATTGAGCGAAGTTTGATCAAGATCAATGCGTTGGTTGGTGCGCAGAATATTCGATCCCATTGCCGTGGTCGACGAGAATGAAGATCGCTCTTGGAGCTGCGAAGGGTCTGGCGTTCCTCCACGAAGCAGATAAACCAGTAATTTACCGAGATTTCAAAGCTTCCAACATACTGCTCGATTCTGTAAGCAAGCCTGATGTTGATACTGATACTACGGATACTGAGAGATTGCTATTGTGAATCCAATCCAGAATTGAATGTTGTTGGTGTTTCTGTATTTCAGGATTATACTGCGAAACTGTCTGATTTCGGGCTGGCCAAAGACGGTCCAGAAGGAGACAACACGCACGTCTCCACTCGAGTAATGGGCACGCATGGATATGCAGCGCCGGAGTATATAATGACTGGTAAGCACCGTATTGTATACTCCATCTAGATACATAGATCATGAACTTGTTGGTTAAGTTATGTGTTCGAATTAATTATGATTCAGGGCATTTGACGGCGATGAGTGATGTATATAGCTTCGGAGTAGTGCTTTTGGAGCTGCTAACAGGGCGGAGGTCGGTGGAGAAGAGCAGCCGTAAGAGGCAGCAGAACTTGGCAGAATGGGCAAGGCCGATGCTGAACGATCCCAGGAAGCTAAGCCGTTTAATAGACCCGAGACTTGAAGGCCAATACTCTGAAATGGGATCTCAGAAAGCAGCCTCATTGGCGTACCAGTGCTTAAGCCACCGCCCAAAGCAGAGGCCCACCATGAGCGCCGTCGTGAAGGTATTAGAGCCACTCAAGGATTTCGATGACATTTCTGCAGGCACCTTCGTTTACACGGTTGTGTCCCAAGACGATGCCCGCAAGAAACGAACGGGAAATTGTAGTGCAGAAGAAGCCATTCCATCCACCTGACGAGGATGAACAGCCGAATTCAATTGAAATGTGAATCATGATGCGCTCAACTGTAGATACACAATTAGCAGAGGATTTGGTTGGTTTTTGTTTGAAATTAAAGCGCCGCCACTGGGTTTGTTCTTGTTGGCACTGGAAGGGATCATAGTTAATCGGCATGCCATGAGAGATGAGTTGCTTCAATTTCCTCCTCAACGCACGGATCTAGCGCATTAATTAGTTAATTAATTGAGTGTGGTGTGCTGTGTTATAATACTCGATTTTTAAACAAAAAAAAAAAAAAAAAAAAAGACCCATTCAAATCAACAATTCTCCCTTCCCCTCCATCCCATCATTGAATTCTAATGCGTCCACATCGCCAAATACAGCGAAGCAGCTTTGACTTGGAAAAATTACTCTAAAACAAAGAAAAGAGGAAACCGCATCGAAAACCGCCCATCCATTTCTCAATGGTGATGAGCATGACTTCCACTTCGGTCGCCTTTATTTATTTATTTATTATATTTATTTTTAAACTTTTTGGATATGTCAAAAGAGTGACCTTTGTAAAGTGAAACACCCTTGATGCAGACATTGTTGTCGATAGAATTGTTTGAGCAAAACACGGTTAACTATGAAGTTCCTATGATCGAGCCTTTAAGGAGGTGCATAACTTTTTGTAGTCACTTTTTCTACAGGATAACTCTTATTCGAATGTGGTCTATTTGGGCCTTTTTTTGCTCCGGATGTGTAATTATAATAGGAGCCAACGTCAAGTTTGGCAATTGGGTAAGTTGCATGAAGTCCCACATCTTTTTTATGAATTTTGAAGATATGATTCTAATGGTGAAATTAGCTATCTGAAGATGGCATCTTGTTGTAAAACTGTTAGTGAAAGAGGGATTTATTGAATGGTTGATGAGATGATTAATAAATTTTGAAGAGCAAGAATGCTCTCTATATATATACAATACAAATATATATCTAGAAAATTTACCTAGAAATCTGTTAATGAACCCGTAAACAAATTAAATCAAAACAAAATCTAATCAAATCAAGAGGAAATCAAATAAAACTAAATCTAACCCTAACCAAGATTTAATTAGATACTACCTGACATCAATCTAAACAATCTTTAACACTCCTCCTTGTTTAGATACTAAACTGAATTCCTAAGTTTTTTTTTCTGAACACCCATCTTGCTCCAATTATCTTTTAGAGGTCGATCAACCAACTCCCAGATTTTGTTTTTCTTGATCACTGAAAGCTCCTCCTCTGACAGGTGCATCATCAACCAAAATATCTTGTTGTTCATCTTCAGACAATTTTAGTCGTTCATCTTCACAATTTTAGTCGTTCATCTTCAGACTCTTCTAATATACCAACAAAGATGCCAACTTCTTACTTTTTGTCAAGCTTATCACGCTTCCTGTGGAATGTAAGTGAAGTAAAGACACCCAAATACTCTAAGGAACTTTAAAGAATGTTTGTAACCATACAAAACTTCCACTGGTGTCAGGTCCTTCACAGCTTTTGTTGAAATTTGATTTTGCAAGCACATAATAGTATTTGCTGCTTTTCCCCAAAAACATTTTGGAAGATCCTTCTCATGAAGCATGCATCTCGGTCATCTCCATTATGAATCTATTCCTCCTTTCACTGACGCAAGAGTGTATGGTGTTATCAATTGATGTTCAATGCCAATTCCAGCCTCTTCACAAAACTTGTTAAAAGTTTATGAAGTGTATTTCTTGCTATTATCTGATCTTATGGTCTGAATCAAGCATGCACCTTCATTCTCAACTTTGGCTTTGAATTTCCAAAATACACCCGCAACTTTTGACTTTTGCTTCAGCAAGAATATCCAACACATTCTTGTTAGATCATTAATAAAAGCAATGTAATAAAGATTACTATTTAATGATGGTGTTTGCTGAGGACCACAAAGCTCAGTATGAACAAGCTGTAGTTTTTTCGAGGCTCCCCATGCTTGTTTAGGAAAGGGTTGCCTATGTTGCTTCCCAAAATTACAAGTACGGCAAGGAGGCATGTCCTTACCAATGTCAGGGAGTTCTTCTACCAGCTTCTTTGTTTGCATCGGAAGCAAACCTCGATGATGAAAGTGTCTAAGTCTTTTGTGCCAAATCTCATTGGCACTAACTCTGGATATAAAGGTTGTTGGATTTAGAGCAAAGCTTTTTCCTTCCATTTTGACATTGAACAAGTCTTTGCCACTAGCATCTTTGATCAAGCACTGCTTATTCTCAAACAACACTTTATAGCCTTTATCAAGTAACTGACCAATGCTTAACAGATTTTGATCAATTTTAGGCACAAATAAAACATTCGGAATAAATTTTGTACCTTCATAGCTTGTTATAGCTATTGTGCCTTTTCCCTTGACTTCCAAGCGTTCACCATTGTCAATCCTCACTCTCTTATCTTCGGTGTCTCTTAATTCCTCAAAAAACTCCTTGTTATATGTCATATGATTTGTGCACCCACCGTCAATCAACCAGCTCTCGCTTGATTCTTTGCTTGAGGAAGAAGTGACCATAAACAATTGATCTTCTTCTTCTGGATCAACTACCTGTGCATCTACTTCTTTCACTTGATCTTTGGCTTTGCAGATCACAGCTTCATGTCCAAGTTGATTGCATTTGGAGCAGAAGGTGTCAAGTCTTCACCAACACTTGTATGGTGGATGACCTTTCTTTTCACAATGGCGACAAGGTGGAAAGAATTTTTTGAAACCTCTTTCTTTTGTCTTTTGAAAATTGGCAGATGGATCTCCATTCGTCGATTGGTTTTTGAAAATTTTCTTGTTTTTATACCTGCTGTTGTCTTGATGCTTGACATGCAAGGCACCTTCAATCACCCCTTCTTGCCTCATAGAACTCCTTTGCTCTTGTGCTTGTAGAGCATTCAAGAGCTCTGTAAGAGAAATCTTTGACAAGTCTTTGGTGTTCTCCAGAGTAGTAATGGTGGCTTCAAACTTCTCTGGAACAGTGACTAGCAGCTTTTCAACGATCCTGGAATCATTTAATACAAAACCAAGCAATCTCACCTTGTTGGCAATGTTGAGAAGTCTGTCAAAGTACTCTTTCACCGGTTCAGACTCCTTCATCTTCTGCAACTCGAAATCCCTAATCAAATTCAGGGCTTTCATTCTACGAATCCTCTCATCTCGGCCTTGAGATAATCCTAGATTTCTTTGGCTGTTTTGAGAGACATTATTCGCATGAAGATCATTTGAGATACAGCGGCAAATAGGCAAGCTTTCGCCTTTGATTTTCTTTTCCTTCTGTAATTTGATTTGTGCTACAGTAGAATTTGCTGGAAGCGGAGGGACCTCGTAATCTCTTCTATTGCTTCCCAAAGATCCAAGGCCTCCAAATAAGTTTCCATATGAACTGCCCACATTTGATAATTGTATCCAAGGCCTCCAAATAAGTCTCCATATGAATTGCCCACATTTGATAATTGTCTCCATCGAAGATTGGTGGTGCAACAACGGAAAAACGGGATTCTCCTTCCTTCTTGATCTCACATATCCCTTAAGAGAATAGCTCTGATACCAATTGTTAGTGGAAGATGAATTTATTGAATGGTTGATGAGAAGATTGATAAATTTTGAAGAGCAAGAATGCTCTATATATATATATAGAATACAAATAGATATCTAGAAAATCTACCTAGAAATCGATTAACAAACGAGTAAACAAATCAAATCAAGAGTAAATCAAATAAAAACTAAATCTAATTCGAAGATTTAATTAGATACTAACTGACAACTGACAGCAATCTAAACAAATACGTGATCTTTAACACAAACTCCATAGGATTAAATGGCAGGCACCTTGTATATTATGTCATCATCTGTACTTGAAAAGTGTTTCATGCATCTCTGTAAGGTTAAGCAGGAAAGCCGTTTCAGTGTGTGGCTTAAGAAAGAGGTCTCAATTTTGAACTGAGCAAGTTGCATTACCAAATAATGGTGTGCTGTGAAAAGGTTTAAGTCTTGAATATTATTGATTTCATTCATCCAGAAACGGCCTCTACAATCAACTAATACTGTTTGGTAAAAAAAAATTGATTATTATGATATTGCAGTGGCAGTGGCATGGGACCGCCCCTTCCTTCTCCATTACCAAACTGACGCTTTTATGGACCTGAGCTGACCCTCTCCCAGTTCGTGCAGGCGAGGAGCTTAGGATGCTTCGTTCTTCTCACTGTTGTTGCAGTTACAGTTACAGCTCAGTTGCTAAGCATTTTTGTCTCGCCCACTAACTTCCTCAGCGAACACTGTACCTTAGTTTTTACATTCTCGGGACTGGTTCACATTCCATAACTGAACTGCTCGAAGCTTCCCAAAGAGATACAGGTTAACTAAGGGAGTGAGCAGTGGTCTCTGGCTAGCAACACAAATGGCATGGATTACAGCAGCAGTTTCCAGTACACCCACACCCACAACAGCCTCTGCTGCTGCTACCAAAACAGCAACAAGGTTGTATTTTTGGACATTTTCCTAATGAGCATTTGCATTTGCATTTGCATTCACAGCAAGGGCATTCAGGGCAGGAGCAGGAAGGTAATGAACAACTGCTACAACATTGGCTGCATGAGATGGTTGGACAACAGCACGAGCATCCAGGTAGCGTTGGACAACAGCACGAGCATCGGAGTAGCGTTGGACAAGTGAAACAATTCCCACACTGCCCGCACCCGCTGCAACACTGCCACTTGGGTAATTTACAGCTGCCACATGATAGGCATTTACATGGATTATTACAGTTGCAGCAGGGTGGGATTTCAAGATGGATCGAGCATCCAGCATAACAGCAACAGCAAATCCAGGATAATTTACAACAGGGGAATCCACTGCATCAAGTGAGAACTAATCTGAGTCAAATGCACTAGACAATACCCTGACTATGCAGAATGCAGAGTACAGATCTGAGTCAATTAGCAATGGAAATAAGGGAAGTCCAGATCTGGTCTACTAGTATTTGATTCGGTTAGTATATTCATAGTTTCCAAACACAAAAGACCCACCTATAGTCTAATTCAAGATTCATCTTAACCTAAGCAATGAAAGATAAGGCGAATCATACCAAAGCCATTTCCAAAATTGACATCTGCGGCGATGCTTCTTGTATCTGATCAAAAGAAGAAATATATAGCGTGAATGATTAACTACAAAGACTTTTAGAAAATTAAAATGATGAGAAACCCCTTACGTTGGTATCAAGGGATCTGAGTTGGCGATCACATGGTCAGCTACCCTGCAAAGTGAAAAAGAGAGCACAAATCAACTAAACGATAGCTAACTGGAAGAGCAAAAAACCCAATTTATTCCGAAGGTATACATACTCTTTGCAGCATCTAGAAGCAGGTGGAAGGCCTTCGGTAGACTTCAATTCTTCCTGCTCCAGAATCATCGTGAAGGAAAGCTTGTTAATTTTTCATAATGAATCGGGATATTAGGAGAAAGCAATGCAGGAAACAATCCCAAATGATTACAATGGGATTCCTCATGTAATCAAAACCCAACCCAAATTTGAAAAGGTATCGATAATCCCGTAGGTAGTGTTCTGTTCCCATACTTTCTTCCTTAAACTTTGTAGGAACGATGTGTTAGGGTATCCAATACACTGGAACAAGAGCTCAAATGTTAAAGGGAAAAGAACAAAAATGTAAATAGCTACATTAGATCTTCAACAGAAACCTTTTAGAAGAAAAGAACAAGAGACAAAATCAAAGGGGTAAATTATTTGGTGATAATTGATTTGGGATAAAAGTGCAAATAAACACTACTTTTGATTTGTAGCATGTTGAGAGCTCAAAACATGGAACGGTGAAGTGTGACTTGAAGGATGTCCCACCCCCAACACACGCAAACAATATAAGGGGCAAATTCCGGAAAGTCTCCAAAACCCAACAATGGGGATCTGTCAATTTCGCTCCCTATGCGCCGAAACTAAGCATAAGATCACCCACGTCGAAATGTAGGCAATATAGATAGCTTGCACCTTTCAAGTCTGTCAAAGAATACGTCTAGGAAGGACTTAGCTTGAATTACAGCAGAGGGGATGCTGGTTAAAATTTAGCAAGTGGGGAGGAATCCAAGACTTAGGTTTCAATTGGGTTGTGAAGAAGAAGAAGAAGAAGAAGAAGAAGAAGAAGAAGAAGAAGAAGAAGAAGAAGAAGAAGCAGAAGTTGATTCAGGGTGAGGAAAGAAAGGGGATTCGCATGCATCGAGAGTTAAAAAGAAAGAAAAAGCAGAGAAAAATGAAATGTACCTCGAGGAAACCAATCTCCCTCTCGAGCATCTGAACCTTGGCAGCTTGTCGGCGCTTTCCATACAAATCTGGATACTGAGGAGGCGACTTGGGATATGGGGGCGGGAGAGATGGAATTGAAGAAGAGGATGCTGGGCGAGTAGGAGTAGCCATTGGGGGAAGCAAGGAAGAGTGCAGGAGGTGAATTACAGAAATGGGAAAGCAAGCAGTGACAGGGCACAAATCAAGTAAACATAAGGGAAAGAGAATAGTGTGTTGTCACTTCTGGTACCAAGTACAGTTATGAAACACCAGAAGTTGCAGAGAGAAAATAGTGAGAAGCGGAAAATGATGGATGGAGTTGTACGAAGGGGAAGCAAATTAAGAAAAGATAGTGAGGAGGAGGGGGGGCGGTAAATAAGACGCCCTGACACGGACAGATTACGAGTGAGGCAAAAGAAAGAACAGGCTCCTACATCCCATGATAAAATGGAGCTTCATTTGAAATGGGGTTGGAGGATGGGAGGTTAAAAGAGTAATAATAATGATGATGGGGTTCAAAAGAGGAAGATTGGTTGTAGGCAATAGGGAAAACAGAGGGGGAGATGGAAAGGGGAAGAGGAGGAAAGGGAGGGAAATTACAGGTTTGACACTCATGGGAGGCAGTAATGGCAATGGTAATGGTAAAGGTGAAAAAGGCTGCTCTGAAATGGCCATATGGGAGTGTCTGTTTTGTACGAACCCATTTAGCAAAATTTAAGGCGTCTGTGATGAGTTTGAGTAGAAGGAGTTGAAGGGGGGGAGAATTTTGGAGGAGTGAGAAGCCCATGTGGATGCGTGTGTGGATCTTTCAGTGATTTTTGTCTTTGCCTTCTCTGGGTCTCTGCCGCTGCCCCTGCGCTGGTGACTCACCACTCCACCCACTGCATTGCAGAGCAAAGAAAGAAAGAAAGCAAGCAAGAGAGCAAGAAAGAAGCGAAAAGCACGATGGAAGCAACCATCTCAGACCCCACGTGAGCACTACGTAGGAGAGAGACAGAGATATTCAAACACATACTCTACACTCAACTTCACTTCAAACACATTCATTCACAAAGTTTTCAACCTAAGCTCATTTTCTTTTCTTTTTTTTATCATTAAAACAGATTCGGACTCTGTGCTCACAGCAGATCAGCAGAAATAAAGCCTTTCCCGACATTGCTACTCTTCCTATACGTTTTGTTCTTCGTTTCGTTTTCTGGGCAACCTCTTCTTCTTCTCTTTCTATATTCTTCCACTCTTCCTTTGCCCAGCTTTCTTGTGGAAATTGCAAGCTCGAACAAGAAGAGGGAAAAGGGGCATGCCACAATCATTGGATACACAAACAGCAGCTAATGTTTACCTTCCTCATTCCTTCAAAATAAGCATTGGAACTTTTGAGTCAAGTAAAGGAAGAGGTTATAAGGGTCCCAAGCATGAGTGGATATATGGGGTTGCCTCACAGTTGCAGTTCAGAAAGATGGTCTTGAAAATAGAGAAATTTGTGTCCTTTTATACTCCTCCTTGTCCTACGTTATAATGCATGCCTAACAACTCCTTTGTTACTCAGGAATTAACAAAGAAACCAAACCTAAAAAACCACGCACACCTCCAACTTGAGAAAAAGAAAAGAAACAGAACCCCAGTTTACGTGGAAGGGATATCCCCGTCGTTCTACAGAGGCGATTTCCGAACTGTAGAAGCGTCGGAACAGGGGAGTTTTATTTATTTGTTTATTTAGTGGTGGTGAGTGGTAGGTGGTGAGAGTGGGCTCGTGACAACGTAGGTGGGGTTCACCTCACACCCCGCTCTGCCACCATCACCGTTCACCAGACACAGCCACAGAGGACAGAGAGCGCAGAGCGCAGAGCGCAGTGGCAGGGTTTTCCATTTTTTTAAAAGCTCGAGGCACTGTTTCGCTTGTGGCCTCTGCTAACGTGAGCTGGTAAGCCTTTTCAATGATTGAGGTTCGAGACAGAATTTGATTTTGTATGAAACATAGAATAGAATAGAATAGAGTTGTTGTTGGGTGGTGCAGTTTACCTGTTTGATAAATTGACAAGCCAGCCATTCCCCGCTCTGGGCTTCCGCCTTTCCCAAACGGCCTTGCTTGCTTCTTCAATGCTTTGCTTTGCTTTGCTGCCTCTACCAATTTCGGCCTTCCAACAGTCGCCACCCACTCATTTGGGTCTTCTACTTCCATTTAACCCCAACTTTTCAGCCCCAACCAAAATACAAACCTTTAAATAATACATGATTTATCCACTAAATTATGCTCAACCCATTTACAATTAACTGAAGTAAAACAAAATTTAAAGATTATCCTCAATATAGATTGAATTTAAGGTGGAAATTTGTTGGGTGAATTAGATAGAGCCACGTGGGTGATTTTGTTAGATTGAAGCGGGGAATATCATCAAATTTATAATATTAATCGAAATTCATTGACAATAGTTACTATGATTGCATAAGTTGGGCATTGATTTATACAGAGATAGGAATCTGGCGCCGCGTGTGATTGTCATGGTCGAAAGGGAAGCCACGTCTGGGGCGTCGAAGTCATGGGCACCGGCAGTGGGAGGCATTCTGATAGCTTCCTTCGTCGGCGTGTGTGTCCAGATAATGTTCTTCTCGCCCATATCCCCAGACCCAGTTCTTGAATTGCCTTCTGCCAGCTCCTCCTTTCCCGCACTCAACAACGAGTTGCAGAAGCTAAGTAAACTGGGAGAGGGCTTTCTGAAGGGTCCGGAAGATGTTTGTGTGGATTCATCGGCAGGTATTGTATATACCGCTACCAGAGACGGCTGGATCAAGCGAATCCATCCCAACGGATCTTGGGAGAATTGGAAGAACACCCACTCCCAAACTCTGCTTGGACTCGCCCAATCCCCATCCAAGGACGGCGGAATCCTCGTTTGTGATACTCAAAAGGTATTCAGATTCATTTAATTTTCATGGAAGATCGAATCCGAGTTTATAATTTCATTTTCATGCGCGACAGGGCATCCTTAAGGTGAAGGATGATGGGTTCTCTGTTATTGTTTCTTCACATGTGAACCAAACCAGAATTATAAGGTAATGAATGGGTTTATTTCTGGGGTCTTTAAAACAGCTGCTGAATAGTAACAATTGTTTGAATAATTGAACAGCTTTCCAGACGACGTGGTGGAGGCGGCAGATGGCAGCCTTTACTTCAGCGATGCAAGCGCTAAATTTGGACTGCACAATTGGTATCTGGACTTTCTGGAAGCGAAACCTCATGGTCGCCTCCTTAAGTACGACCCTTCCTCAAACCGAGTATCCACCCTTCTCGATGGTCTCCGTTTTGCCAACGGCGTTGCTCTCTCCGCAGACCAACGCTATGTGGTTGTCTGCGAAAGCTTCAAGTAAGTACTCTTGCAGTGGTCTTACTTGGTTACAGCATGGAATGTCCTATAAACGATGCGTTTCTGAATGGTAGATATAGATGCGTCAAGTATTGGGTGAAGGGGGAGAAGGAAGGGGAAACGGAAATATTGATCGACAATCTTCCGGGATCGCCAGACAACATAAACCTGGGTCCGGACGGGTCGTTTTGGATCGCTGTGATCCAGCCGGTTCGTGATGGGTGGGAGTGGTTTGTGAGGTGTAAGATGGGAAGGCACATTCTGGCGAGTTTTCCGAGTATGTATGAGCTGCTTGTCAGCGGCGTAGGGCAGAAAGCGACGGTGATCAAAGTGGGGGCGGATGGGAGGATTATTAGGAGACTGGACGATCCTGATGGGTGTTAGAATTGGTCAATCCATTAGAATAGCTTGAAGTTGGTCATGCCATAAGAATAGGCTTACTTCGTTAGTTTCCTATGAAATCGGATCTATTAGTTAATCTTTTGCCAATATAAATAGAATATGTCCTCAATAGTGTGAGGTACAGTTTTGCATAAACTTGATATGGTATCAGAGCAGAAATAAGATCCACGAGATCCATAGCCTCTGCTGTTAAACATGTCAATCCCAATCAACACAATGTCTTCTCCGTCGATCAGTCAGGTGATTAGTGTTAAGCTTACACAAGAAAATTATCTACTGTGGTCTACCCAAATCCTTCCCTACTTGCGTAGCCAAAACCTTGTTGGTTTTGTGGATGGATCCATGCCTGCACCAAGCCAGACGATCGCCGTTGAACCAAGTGAAGAAACAGGGAATCGCAAAATTATCATCAACCCTGAGTTCACAGTCTGGTACCCCCAGGACCAGCTGGTACTCAGCCTCATCAACTCATCAGTCACTGAGGAGGTTCTCAGCACGATGGTTGGAATCACCACTGCACGAGAAGCCTGGATTACGCTGGAGCGACAATTTGCTTCCACATCTCGAGCAAGAGCAATGCAGATCCGTATGGAACTCTCTACTATCCAGAAAAAGGACATGACAATTGCTGACTACTTTCGTAAAGTAAAACATCTTGGTGATACACTTGCTGCCATTGGCAAGCGAATAGAGGATGAAGAACTCATCGCCTACATGCTGCAAGGACTTGGTCCAGATTATGATCCTCTAGTCACAAGCATTACAACCAGAACAGATGTATACACTGTCAGCGACGTGTATGCTCACATGCTGAGCTATGAGATGCGGCACTTGCGTAAGGGTACATTTGAGCAACTTTCATCTGCTAACAATGTCAATAGGATATCCATTCGTGGAGGTGCCAATGGAGGTCGAGGTAGTCGCGGTCGTAGTCGTCAGTTAAATAGTGGTCATGGACAATCAAGGCGTACTGTGAACAATCCTGGACGTCAACCATCAAAGACACAAAGCAGCTCAGGCATTGTCTGTCAGATTTGTGGTAAGCCCAATCACGATGCTTTGCAATGCTGGCACAGATTTGATCAGGCATATCAAGCCGAAAATAATCTCAAACAAGCAGCTTTGGCAACTAGTGGATACACTAGNAATTGGTCAATCCATTAGAATAGCTTGAAGTTAGTCATGCCATAAGAATAGGCTTACTTCGTTAGTTTCCTATGAAATCGGATCTATTAGTTAATCTTTTGCCAATATAAATAGAATATGTCCTCAATAGTGTGAGGTACAGTTTTGCATAAACTTGATATGGTATCAGAGCAGAAATAAGATCCACGAGATCCATAGCCTCTGCTGTTAAACATGTCAATCCCAATCAACACAATGTCTTCTCCGTCGATCAGTCAGGTGATTAGTGTTAAGCTTACACAAGAAAATTATCTACTGTGGTCTACCCAAATCCTTCCCTACTTGCGTAGCCAAAACCTTGTTGGTTTTGTGGATGGATCCATGCCTGCACCAAGCCAGACGATCGCCGTTGAACCAAGTGAAGAAACAGGGAATCGCAAAATTATCATCAACCCTGAGTTCACAGTCTGGTACCCCCAGGACCAGCTGGTACTCAGCCTCATCAACTCATCAGTCACTGAGGAGGTTCTCAGCACGATGGTTGGAATCACCACTGCACGAGAAGCCTGGATTACGCTGGAGCGACAATTTGCTTCCACATCTCGAGCAAGAGCAATGCAGATCCGTATGGAACTCTCTACTATCCAGAAAAAGGACATGACAATTGCTGACTACTTTCGTAAAGTAAAACATCTTGGTGATACACTTGCTGCCATTGGCAAGCGAATAGAGGATGAAGAACTCATCGCCTACATGCTGCAAGGACTTGGTCCAGATTATGATCCTCTAGTCACAAGCATTACAACCAGAACAGATGTATACACTGTCAGCGACGTGTATGCTCACATGCTGAGCTATGAGATGCGGCACTTGCGTAAGGGTACATTTGAGCGACTTTCATCATCCAACATATCAAGTTTATGCAAAACTGTGCCTCATACTATTGAGGACATATTCTATTTATATTGGCAAAAGATTAACTAATAGATCCGATTTCATAGGAAACTAACGAAGTAAGCCTATTCTTATGGCATG